ACCTTGTCTCCTCCTTAAACCCTCCAGCTTCTTCTTCCTTTTATTGCGGAAATCCTGCAACTTCCACTGCCCTCCCATATACTCAATAAACTCAACAGCATTGAAGGAGCCCCCCAGTGTAAATTCTAATTTTGGCAGCTTGCTAATAGGAAAGGAAAGAACTGAAAGGAGAAAAGGAAAAAAAAGATACACAAATCAAAAAAGAAACTCCTTACAAATTGTGAGAGAGCCCCTGTTTTCTTGACATCAGTTAGCAATTCTGGAGAAAAAGAAGGACACTGCTTTGCCTAGTAAGAAACAGTAGCAACACCTATATTTATTGAGCTCTTATGCATGTGTCGGAGCCCTGATGGAGCAATGGTTAAGAGCTCAGGCTGTGAACCAAAAGGTGGGCCGTTCGAATCCACCAGCTGCTCCTTGGAAACCCTATGGGGCAGTTCCATTCTATCTATAGGGTCACTATGAGTTGGAATCAACTCGATGGCAATGGATTTGGTTTTGGGTTTTTATGCCCTTGTCAGGCCCTAATCTAAGCACTCTACGTGTGTTTGCTCATTTGATCCTCAAAACAATTCTAAGATTCACAGCCAAGTACGCTGCTCACTGGCCGCATCTCTAAGACTGCAACGACTCCTGGGTCCCCAGCAGCCTCCCATCCAGAAGCGCCTTTGCCCACAGGCCCCTGGAGGTCTGTGACTCAGCTCCCCACCCTCTCCATCTCCACGCAGTCCTCTGGCAGATATTGCAGGAGTTCTGGTTCAAGGACATAGCTCTCTGGCCCCGAGAAGACTTCTGGTATTTCACTGTCAAATGAAAACTGAGGCCATGGTAATGTTTCTGTAATAATATTAAATTCAAAAGGCAAAGAGGAGAGAAATTATGCTGCCAGCTGAAACGAGCCTGAGGGACATATTTGTTTTAATTCTTTTTTCATGGCTTTTCAACACCTGCCTTTGCTCTTCCACTCGCCAACGAAATATGGCTCAGGTTGCTTTCCAGCGTTACCAAGAGGCTGACTAGCAGACCGGTACAAGAAACTGCGGTAGGTGGTCTGGGTGCACTGTCTTGGTGGTGATACACTCAGTCCTCCCAGACAAGGTGTCAAGGTTACAGCGGTCTTTCCCTAATTACCATCAGAATCTGAAAATATCCTGAAGACATGAGAATCCCCCTCTGGAACTAGGAGCCTGCCCGCAGTATATTTTTCAACTTAAAAGTTTTTTCCCCCTTCTGTTTTTGTTTTCTTATTTTTACTGCCTAAATGGACCCAGCTTTGCTCTTCCATGATTTCAGGCTAACAAGACTAGAGGATTTCCTGGAATGAATGGCTGGGCCGGTTTCTCTGGTGGCTCACTTTCCATTTTATCCAAGGCCACCTTCTGCCAATCAGCTCCCACTTCACTAGAAAGAAGACTGCTCGCTCAGTGTCACACAGCACAGGCAGATGGAGCCTTGAGGGTATTAGATGGTGACCAAAGTGACCCCACGGAGTTGCACGGGCTGCAGCGAGCCTGTCCCTGCTGTCACTGACACTATGCACTGGCAGGCCCCATAAGCACCACGTCCAGGCTCCTCAGAGCATCTATGATACCACCGCCATTGCCCACTTGCTTGGGTGTCTCATGACTTTGAGCACCTGGAGGGCTGGGGCACTGCTGCCTCCTCTAGTCTGTATCCCCAGCACCTGGCACAGTATCTGGCTTACAGTTGTTGTTGTTGTTAGGTGCCATCAAGTCAGTTCTGACTCACAGCGACCCTACAGGAGAGCAGAACCGCCCCATAGGGTTTCCAAAGAGCGGTTGGTGGATTCAAACTGCAGACCTTTTGGTTAGCAGCCATAGCTCTTAACCACTGTGCCACCTGGGCTCCCAGCATACAGTAAGTACTCAATAAGTGGTGGCTGAAATGAAGGAATGGACTCAGCCCATACTGGTCCAGATGGTGTACAAAGTCAAGTACTTTGAAGATACCCTGGGTTCAAAATCTGGCTCCATCTCATTTTCTAGCTCCGGCTAGATTATTTTTTTTAGCCTCAGATTCCCCATCTCTAAAATGGTAACAATCATCGTACCTGTGCCATAGATTTGTTGTGAGATTAAGTATACAAAAAGTACTTAGCTGACCACCTGACACATTCAGTCACCCAACAGATATTTGTTAAATGAATGACTATCCCTTGCTCATCCACATCTGCTCCTTACGCAGCTATTACAGCAGTCAACCATCTCTGACCAAAGTAAAGTCTGCAGTCAAGAACTCTGGTTCCAGGAGCCCTGGTGGCGGAGTGGTTAAGAGCTATGGCTGCTAACTGAAAGGCTGGCAGTTCGAATCCACCAGCCACTCCCTAGAAACCCTATGGGGCAGTTCTACTCTGTCCTGTAGGGACATTATGAGTTGGAACTGACTCCACGGTACCCAACAACAACAAAACTTCCAGAAGTAGTTCCTGGGTGGTGCAAAAAGTTAACGTGCTCAGCTGCTAATTGAAACATTAGTGGTTTGAGTCCACTCAGACCAAAAAAAAAAAAAAAAAACCTCCAGTTCCAATTCTTGCTTTGCTAGGACTTGAGCAGTCACTCCACCTCACTCTGCTTCTGTGGCCTTTGTCGGGATGAGAGTCACTCTGCTGCCCCAACCTATCTGAGGTTGTCTATGACACAGCATGACCTACCAAATGTGGACACACATGGAAAAGCAAAATCCAGACTCTCATACCTGCCACCAAGCAATCCTCCAGCAAAGCAACTCGATGTCCTGCACTCCAGGGACCCTGCTGCACGCCCGGGATGCCTGCAGCTCTGGGCTCAGCCAGTGCTCTTGCCTTAGATTACAGCCTCCAATCAAGACAGTGTAATCCAAAGCATTTGCGTGGCCCCAAGTCCTCACCATGTTTTCTGTTGAGTTGGAAACTAAACCACCTCAAGGGCTGACACCTAGGCAACCTCCCTCTTGCCCAAAATGCCATTTCAGCAGTTCACATGGCTCCCCACTCAGGAAGCACCGGAGTCTCATCTTCGCCTCCTCTCACTGTCCCCCAAGTCTCGGGAGACTTTTCCCCTTTTCCCAAAAGGGTGGCTCATTTGGAAACTCTTAAAGCCATTTGCATTCCCAAGACAAGCTCTTCGGAGTAAATTTATTTCAGTGTGGGGGTCTTCTTATCTTCTTAGTCTCTTTCCTTCCGCTCACTATGAAGCTGGAATGAATTCATAAACAGCCCTAGTGGTATGAACATCAGGGCCTTAGAGGATGCAGGATTACAAGGGGGATTTGGGCTCTTAGCTCTTTTTCTGTCTGTCTCTCATACACACACACACCCCACAGTGGTGTTAGTCTCATTAACCACAATGCTGTTCTCATCTCTTCCATTGCTAGACACGCCCTACCCCCTGGCTCAGTCAACACTCTGTTTCCTGGCCTCCTGCAGGAACACTGCCAAATAAAATAACAAAATATTCTTATGGAAGGCACGTTAAAACCTTAGCAAGATTTAAGCCTGGGCTCCTTGTCACGGAGGCTCCCTCCCGTAATCTGTATTCCAATCTCAGTGTCAGTGGAGCTGTGATCAGAATATCCAAGGCCTCATAAAAGATTCAGGGCTTACTGACTTCCCTGACATTTGCTGTTTCATGCTGTTCCTGCTCGTTCCCATTCAGCCTCCAAAGCATCCACAGGCCCTTTCAACTCACTGCTGCAGATGGTAAACTTGCGGAGAGAGTCAAGCAACTCAGGGCAAGTACTGGACCTAAATCTTCAATGTAAATCTTCCCAGGAATTTAGCTGGGACTGGGGTGAGAGTTCTCGTTTTCCTTAGAGGCTTTTCTTGTTGGGCTCAGGGTTTTTCTAAGATCAATTCCTGCCATCTCCCCCATGGTATCCAGATGTAGGACTAGGAATCAAAGAGGTGAATGAGACTTGATCAAGATCTCTCCTCTTCACCATGACTCCATGAGCCGGCCCGACTGGGCGTGCATGCCTGACTCTGTGAGCTCCGTGTGCCTGCCCCACCCCATGTACGTGTCCAGCTCTGTGTGCGTGCCCGACTGGCTGTATGTACCCGACTCCGTGCACATGCCCAGCTCGGTGTGCATGCCCCACTGCGTGTGCATTCCCTACTTAGTGTGTACGCCTAACTGGGCGTGTGTGCCTGGCTCAGTGTATACGAATCTTTCTAGATCTCATTATTTTTTAAATCTAAGAACGTATTACCTAATCTTGTAAGTGTTGCAGTGATGATTTGTAAGGATGGCACTCTACAAAATAAATAGAGGCTGAGCATACTTTCCGATGGCCCGTGTTCAAAGATAGGTATTTTCGGGTGGCTCCATGAATCCAGGCGGGACATAGATATTACATATGGGTTTACGACACTAGCATAGATATTAGTAATTTAAAAATCCAAGCAAAATGTATTATGACTTAAGGAACCCAGGTGTAACCAAAGGGATGATTACCAACAGATCCTTTGGTTTACTAAGAGGATCACCCCAGCTTTCTTACTCAGACCCACTAGCAGATTTCCAACACGATTTGCTTTCCAAACAGGTAATTTACACCCAGCTTATCAGAAAGACATTGAGTAAAGTCAGTTATACCATACTTCTTAAGGAGGTTCCACATCGTCACAAAAGGAATCTCTGATACACCCACAGGCTAGGGGCAACAATGACACCTAGAGATGGCAAGCAGAGGAGAAAAGACTCAGTCGGATGGACAACACAGCCCAGCCACCAGAGGCTGGAGGTGGAAAGGAACTGTTGTTCCACCAACTAACAGAACTGAGACATTTTCAAGATAACCTTTAGTAAGCCCCAAGTGTCTGAAATAAAAAAAAAAACAAAAATCAAGCCTAGAACTCCAGAACTCAGGCAGCCAAAAACCAAAGGCCTGTTAGAATTTAATCTCTTTCGAAAATATATTAGCATAATTATTTCTGTAAATGGTATAGCCATTAGACAAATAACACAAAATCCCAGATCAAAGTGCTATTCACACATAGCTACCTGCAGAACTTTAGGTCACATGAAGATGAACAGATGGTATAAACAAGGTCTCGGAATGTTTTTCATGTATCTGCTCCTAAAACCTTCTGAAGAGATTAAAAAATTCTAGAATACAAATCAAAAATTAAAGGCAAGTTGATGGCACCTCAAAATTATGCATGGCAAATGAGAAAATTATAATCAAATATTCTCTATACATCTCAAATTCTTTCACTGTGTAGTCACATCTTATATGTACAGTAAATCCCCGGGTTATGGACACCTGACTCATACTTGCCCTTTAATGTTATATAAATTTCCCTTACTTTGAAATGACTGAACTAACTCCTACTTGCAGCAAATTCTTCCTCACAATCACCTTTACTTGCTACATGTGCAGCTTTTAAAGCACTGAAAAGGCTTCGAGCCTTTTCTTGCACTAAAGTAAGGCTAAATAAGAACCATATGCACCTGTTCTGACTTACCAACAAATTCTTAAAGACATACTCAGGAACGGATCTCATCTGGGACCCTGGGACTGCCTGTATACATGTACATATATGTTTCTGCATATGTATATGCAAAATCAAGCAAGTAAACACATACAAGTGGTTTATCATCAGATAATATAAAAAGTATATGCAATCCAGTTTCGTAAGTGGACATAACCCATTTCCACACGCCCATAAACACTGGCAAGCAAACAAGATACCTCCTATTCTAGAGTATCGTGGTCTGCAAAAGTTAAATGTAAAGTTTAAAGACTGAGTTATGTTTTACATTCTTTGGGAAACACATTATTTAAAACATGTCTATAATCAAATATTTGTAAAAGTAAATAATACTATAATTCATCTTGTTTGGTAACTCTAGATTTTCTTATATTATATTTACTTAGAGTATTTCTGACTGCTTTTTTTAAAAAAAGTATTGTAAGTATTATCATTAAAAAAATTACCAAACACAACCCATATTATTTATATACGTTAATTTTTTTTCCAAAAATATACCACAATACTCTATAGATGAAGGGTTCTCAACAAGGGGAGATTTTGCCCCCTCGGGGATATTTGGCAGTGTCTGGAGACATGGGAGAAGGGGGTGCTACCGGCGTCTAGTGTGCAGAGGCAAGGGATGGTGCTAAGATTCCTACAGTGTACAGAACAGCCGCCCCAACAAAGAGTTAGCCAGCACAAAATGTCAACAGTGCCAAGGTTGAGAAGTCTTGGTATAGATTATCACAAACATTATGAAATTCCTCAAAACATGTCCCCAAAACACCTTTAAGGAATGAAAAATGAGAAGTGGGGAAATATCAGAAAGAACTTTTTCTAGTAGTAGTTTGACTGTCAAAAGTATACGCTGCTTTCTGTGGATGCCACAATATTATTGCTTCACCATAAAATATGCCCTTAAAACCTACCACCTGTATTTGTGTTATAGACGCAGACTGAGAAATGTTGGAAAATCAGCAAGAATCGGAGCAAAAAGCACTTACCCTCAGACATCCTTCCGTGAACAGAGGACTATCCTGACCAACTGTATTAAAATCAAATAAAGTGAGATACAACCAAAGCTAACTTTTTAGGCAGTGAAAAATAAACACATCTGGTACATGGAGTGGGACATGTGTGTATCCATCCACATGCTCAATTCCACAGCATCAAAGCTCTGATGTTCAGTAATATAATAATATTATTTTTTGAGATCAGTTAAGGTATAAAATGTGTGTACTCTCAGTCTTTAATATTAATAAGTCTTATAACTAGCCATTTCTCATAGCTCCGAATTCTTGAGCACAAACTAGAATGGGCACTTATCCTGAAAAATCTAATAAATTTACAGTTTTATATACTTCCTTCAATTGTAAAAGTCTTGTTCAATAAACTTTAAAATGCCACTATAGAGCAATAACACAGACAGTATAAACCCAGCCCTGGGAAAGCTGTGTAACCAGAAATTGTTCCCCTTTCTGCTAGAGCAATAAAGTTTTATATGTTTGAACTGACTGTAAAAAGGTTTGAATGTTGGCAACTGGGGAATAATCTGTCTTCTTTATAGTTATTATCATATTTCCCACAAGACCCCTTGGTCTGTGTCAATCCTTCTTGTATATGACACCTTTGTACTGTCAGCGAAAGCAAGACTACTTTACTTTTTCTTTTTTTTTTTTTTTAAACTATAGGACTTGTGTCTGTTTTCCTTCAGATTACAGCTAACAGGAATAAATTATTCCTGACAAGCATCCATTGCAGCATTTTACCAAATAAAGCTGGTTGTGAGCTGCTTTTTCAAAAGAGGCAGGGGGGTAAACCTCCTCCCTTCTGCTTCCCTCTTTCTCTCAACTGATTCAAATGCAATTCAGGGATGGTTAAATTGGAGAAAATGTCAATAAAAAGAGATTTGTAGGAAAGTTGCTCTGAATGCCAGAGACTGCTGTAACATGGTGGTTCAGTCCTCATGGGTGCTATTGGATCTGTGGGCAGAAGGGGCTCAGGAAAAGGCAGGAGGCAGAACTATCCCCTTCCCCTCCCTACCTCAAGAGTGCCTGTGCTTCTTGGTTTCTTGCAGAAACCAGACGTCCAGCTAGCAGAAATGGCTAGAGTTTCCCAGGCTATCATTAGCAGGCAGTGAGGGAAGCCAAGGTTATGACCAGCGGGGGCAGACACCCAAGCTGTCACATGTGGGCTTCATCTCTTGGCTAACCAGTCATTGGCTGAAATGAGTTTAGGCTCACGGTAATCAGCAAAGAGCTGATGTGTATATGTATATTATGTGTGTGTGTGTGTGTCCGCTTCTCTCCCTCCACCATCAGAACTCTACAACAGACACATGGGCCCATACCAGTACTCCATTACAGACACCCAGCAGTACTAAATACCTTCTCCTGTCTTCACAACTCCACCACCATCCTGAAGATTCTCTGCCTTTCAGCTCTTAAAATGGCAAATGAAAAAAATTAGAGAGCGAAGAGAATGGATATTTGCAGACACCAGGTTTTAAAAAAACAAAAGACATATGGTTGGACATCAGAAGAATTGGTACAAGGAGTTAATTATCTCTGTACTCTGGAACAGTCTCTCCAACAAACAACGAGAAGATGACCAGTCACATGAACATGACCAGTTGCTGTCAAGTCCAGTCCTACTCATGGGGTATCAGAGTAGAACTGTGCTCCACAGGGTTTTTAAGGCTGATATATGTTTTTTGATTGCCAGGCCTTTCTTTCAAGGCACCTCAGGGTGGACTCAAACCACTAACCTTTTGGTTACAGTCAAGCATGTAACCATTTGTATCTCCATAGGCATATACAGATATGCATGTACATACACAGTACATATCCATGTGAGTACACACACTCACTCAAACTCAAACATAACTCAGTCAACTCAAATGAATAGTCATCTCAAATATGGAAGTTTTTATATGCAAGGGTAAGTGCCAAAATAGTGTGTATAAATACAGTAACTCTACCAGAATGACTGAAGCAATGCAAATAAAATTGAGTAAATCAATTACAGTCATCCCTCGGTATCCTTGAGGGATTGGTTCCAGGACCCCAGTGGATACCAAAATCTGCAGCTGCTCAAGTACCTTATATAAAATGGCATAGTATTTGCAGGTAACCTATGCACATCCTCCAGTATACTTTAAATCTTCCCTAGGTTACGATAATACCTAATACAATGTAAATGCTGTGTAAATAGTTGTCTTACTGTATTGTTTAGAGAATAATGGCAAGAAAAAAAAAAGTCTGTACATGTTCACTACAGATGCAATCAACATAGACCTAACTACATAGTACACGCAAGCAACAACGTAACTTTTTTTCGCATATTTTCCATCCACTGAATCTGAGGATGCAGTATCCGCAGATATGGAGGGCCGACTGCATATCTCAGTGACCTTGGCCAAAGCTTGAGCCCCACGTTCATGAAAATGAGCTCAGCATAGCCTCGTATTTCTCCTCACTACCCCATCTCCATGAGTGGTCAAGGCCATATTATGATGTGTTCTCAGTTAAGATAACACACATTTCAATCTATTTACGGTAGATGTAAAAAAAAAATCTCATCACGCGTTACCAGGAAGAACAGAGAAGAAACAGAGAGAACTGCTCCACAGACTACACCTTTTAACAACCATGCTCAGCAGGTCTTAATATCAGAAAGACGGCAGCTGCCCATTGCCAAACCACAGCTCCACAGTAAGTTTCTACTCTCTCTACTTCCTCTTCATGCACCTCATCTATGTGGCTGAAGTTTAAAAATGATCTGCTTTTAAACAGTTTCTTGATGTCAATAAAAAGTTCTTAAGTTTGGGTCATATGTCACAGTGACATTAACAAAAAGAAAATTGATGCTATTTTTTTAAAACTTCTCTGACACATAACACAGATAGAGGAAAGTACACAAATCACAAGTGTCCAGCTCAGTGAAAAACTACGGCACGCTTTACCAGTGTGCACACTGTCCCTGTGCAGGGCCGATGCTAACTGTCTGTACGTCATTTTTTTATATGTGCTGCTAAAGTGAGCACACAGACAGTATTCTAAAAAAAAAGTTCTCACATGGCCAGGGATTATCAGTTTTAGGAGCAGTAACTAGAACATCATAGAATGGAAGAGGTATGGAGATAGAGGTATTTAGTATTGAAGAACGAGGTGCGTTCCAACGCATCACCAGAGGTGGTTATGAAATGCAGATTCCTAGGCCGCATATCAACCCCGCTGACACGGGGCCTGTGAATCTGCATTTTATAAGCACCCCTATGTGATTCTTGAGAACCACTGACCACGACTAATGAAGTACTCCAGCAATTCTCTTCCTGAAACCCAATCACACTCCCTTTTTCAGAGATGAAACACCACTGCTTTGACTTGTCAACGCTTCAAACACACACATTTCTAAGAAAATAGTTGGTAAAGCTCAAAGAATGGCATTGTGTTTTGATACAGAAAAGAAAGGATTTAGAAGAATAACTGATCAACAAGGAAAAGTATTGTCCTGGAAGATTTGCTCCATTCCGCCTTTTCCTGAACTCTCTGTTCCACACATCCTACCACTCTATTCATCCTAATGGGAAAAAAATGCAGAGGCCAAAACAGCCTCCTGAAAAGGTCAAGAGTTAGGTCCCCACCGCCCCTACTCCACCTCCCACATCAACCTCCCCCCCTCCACACCTTTATTTGTCCTTGCAAATTTCAAGCAAATCTTGGGATTTGTACCTAACTAGGTCCTAAAATATACACTCCCTCATGAACCTCAAAGGAGTTGGCTTTATAGTAACATATCTGACTAGAGTATTCTGGGACTTCAGGAGTTCAAGAAGATATATGATACCAGAATCCCAGCCTTTAGAACAAGTAAGGGACAGAAGGATCTGACTAATCCAAGCTAACTCACTTTTCAGAGGGTCTGATGTTACTGCTCCACAGCTTACAGATTCATCCATTATGCGTGGAATTCTATCAAAGTATAAATGGGGCAGAAAAGGTAGATCACTGGACACTAGGCATTATTGCTACTACTGTTACTTCTGGCATTACAATTATGATTACTACTACTACTACCAGGAGAAAAATGTGGCAGTCTGGCAGTCTATTCCCTTAAAGATTACAGCCTCAGAAACCCTATGGCGCAGTTCTACCCTGTCCTGTAGAGTTGCTATGAATCGGAATCAACTCAATGGCAATGAATACACTACAACAACTACTATTACTACGACCACCACCACTACTGTTACTGCTACTAACTTCTGATGCCACCATGTGTCAGGCACTGGGTATGCCCTTTACATACACCATCTCATTTAACCCCAAGAGTTATGCTTACTTGAATGTACTAACGATATTACTTAATGAGAAACAAGATCCTGGCGTGGGTTGGGTCTATCTTTCACTGACATGTGGCATTTATTTCTATTCCAGTTACCCAAGGCTGAATGTAAGGATGTCTGGGCGTCCAGAGCTGACAAGGACAGAAAGAGAACCTTTTTTTGTTAAAAAGTATCAATAAGTTGAAGAATTAACAAAAGAGGTTACCTTCTAGATGTTGAGACAACAAAAGACAACCTACAATATGGCCTGTCTATAAGGAACTGCTACTCTAGTGAGAAAGACCAGAAATAAGCAAAAGAAAACCATAGATCAGAAAAGCATTGCAATGAAATGGATGATGGATGACTGGAGAAGAGGGCAGTGCGACGCCAACTCTAAGGGAAAAAAATACATAAACAACATCTCTCTTTTCCCAAAAAATTCTAAGTATCCTTAGAAAGACAAGATACTCTCATGTGAAACAATCAGAGAGATACCAAAGACTGCATAGAGCCAGCTGTTACATGCAGTAGCACATAACTGAGTAATTAAAAAGAAAAAAAAAAAAAGGGCCCATTGCAGTTGAGTCGATTCCAACTCATAGCAACCCTATAGGACAGAGAAGAACTTCCCCATAGGGTTTCCAAGAAGCGGCTGGTAGATTCGAACTGCCAAAGTATAAATGGGGCAGAAAAGGTACATCACTTTGCACTAGGCATTATT